CCGCCACCTATCTTCTAAACAGGCACCCTTGTTTTGCTGTTCAGAATAACATTCCCTACCAACTCCTCTATTCCCAGCCCCCCGAATACTCTCACTTGTGTGTATTCGGTTGTCTGTGCTATCCTAATCTCGCAGCCATGGCACGCCACAAGCTTGCTCCTCGATCTGTAGCCTGTGTCTTCCTCGGTTACCCTTCATCCCACAAAGGGTACCGCTGCCTTGACCTATCCACTCATCGAGTCATCATCTCTCGCCATGTTGTCTTTGATGAGTCCGTTTTTCCTTTCTCCTCCCACCCTACTCACCCGTCACAGCTCGACTTCCTCTTGTTGAGCTCCTCTGCTGCTCCTACTCTTGCCTCGGTTGCTCCATCCTCGGACGTTGCGTAGCCGCAGCCATCACCCGCTGTTTTGCAGGAACTTCCCAATGATGACCCCGCAATCCTGGTACGCGGTCTAGTCGTGTACCGTGCTCCGTCTGCGAACAGGACGCCGCCCTCTTCCTCAACTGCAGGACCAGCCCACTTGGACATCATCTCTGCTCCTGCAGTTGGGGGTTCCACCGGCCACCCGGCGCCTACCAGACCACTGGTGCCACCCCTGCCTCGTCACTACACCAGGCGGCCACCGGCGGCTGCGTCATCTGCTTTGGCACCTCCTACAACGCCGACGCCCATGGTCTTGACGCCAGTAGCCTCGGCGACCACACCTCTACCACCGCCACCTGTGCCGCGGCACCTCAGGTGCCCGCAGTCCTGGCATCGTCACCACCTCCTGCTCCTACACGACCTGTCACTCGGACTGTGACTAGGGCCATTTAGCGGGTGTCCTACCAGGGCTTGATGGCTTCTCCATCATCGCCCTCTCCGCTTCTGACAAACTACCGCAGTACTCTAGCTGACGCCAACTGGCGTGCTGCCATGGTCGATGAGTTCCAGGCTCTCATGGACAATGACACTTGGCGCCTCGTCCCGCGGCCGTCCAGTGCTAATGTCGTGTTGGGCAAGTGGATCTTCCGGCATAAGTTCCATGCTGATGGGTCACTCGCCCGGCACAAGGCGCGCTGGGTGGTCCGAGGCTTCTCCCAGCGCCACGGCATCGACTACGACGAGACCTTCAGTCCTCAATGAGCAAGGTCTTTGGGTCCACGGCCATGAAGGCAAAGCGGGGCTGCTCTGGAATTCTTTCAGAAAGCGCATGGGTGTAACCACCAACCCGGTCATGATCTTTGATCTGCAGTCGCTTATCACTGCGGTACCTGGTCTAGATGAGTTGGTGTTACTAAGGAGATTGATTATGTTGTCAAACGCATGCCAATCGATAAAGCCTTGGGTCCAGACGGTTTTAATGGCATGCTCATGAAAAGGTGTTGGCAGATTATTAAGCAAGATTTCTATTCCCTCTGTGATGAGTTCTATAATGGCACAGTGAACCTAGAGTCTATCAATAGATCCTACATCACCCTTGTGCCCAAGACCAGTAACCCAGAGACAAGTCAATGACTTTAGGCCAATCTCATTGCTGAATATTAATCTGAAGCTATTGACAAAAATCCTGGCGGACAGACTACAGAATATCATTCTCAAACTTATTCATTGTAACCAATATGGTTTCATTCGTTCGCGTTCCATTCAAGATTGTCTAGCCTGGAGCTTTGAATATATTCACCAATGTCATCACTCAAGAAGGGAGGCTATAATTCTCAAACTGGATTTTGAAAAGGCGTTTGATACAGTTGAGCACTCTACTATCCTACCGATGTTGCAGCATTTGGGCTTCCCAGATAGATGGATATCTTGGATCCACTTTATCTTATCATTGGGATCGTCAGCAGTGCTCCTAAATGGTGTCCCGGGCAAATTCTTCAAATGCAAGAGGGGTGTTAGGCAGGGAGATCCACTATCCCCCTTGTTATTTATCATTGCAGCTGAACTTCTTCAGTATCTCGTCAACAGGGCATCGGCACTTGCACTACTGACAGCACCCATCCCTTGTGAAAATGGTGAATTCCCCATAGTTCAGTATGCCGACGATTCCCTCCTCATTCTTCAGGCTGATGCACGTCAATTGTTCTTCCTGAAAGCATTACTCAACAGCTTTGAGACTGCTTCGGGTCTCAGGGTCAACTACAACAAGTCACAGATCCTACCAATTAATGTTAGCCATGATAGAATGCAGCATCTTGCCAATACGTTTGGCTGTCAGGTTGGATCACTGCCGTTCACATATTTAGGGCTACCGATGGGCACCACCAAGCCATGCATTGAGGACCTTACACCAATCATGGACCGGGTTGAGAGAAGACTGTCAGCATGCTCCACGTGGCTCTCTTATTCAGGTAGACTCCAGATGGTTAATTCAGATATTACGCCGATAGTCACCTACACTCTTTGTATTATCAAGGTCCCAAAGGGCTTCATTGACAACATAGACAGGGCCTGTAAGCAATGTCTCTGGAGGGGAAATGATGACACCACGCGAGGAGGAAACCTTGTGGCGTGGCCGGCTGTCATGAGGCTTAAGGACAAGGGTGGTTTGAATGTGATCAACCTGCGTTTGCAAAATGATGCTCTCCTCTTGAAACAGCTCCACAAGTTTTATAACAAAGTGGATGTTCCATGGGTGAAGCTTGTTTGGAATAAGTATTATGTTGGCAAAGTGTCCCATGAATGTAGAGAAATGGGCTCTTTCTGGTGACGTGACATCATGCGTCTCAACACCATCTACAGAGGTGCTGCACGCTGCACATTGGGAGACGGCTCAACAGTTTCTTTCTGGGATGATCTATGGCCAGACTCGATCATGTCTACTCAATATCCAAGACTCCACTCGTATGCTAGGAACAAGTCTATCTCGGTACAGGAATTAATGATGCATGAAGACCTTGATGACATTTTTGTGCTTCCACTGTCAACCCAGGCTTATGAGGAGATGATGGATCTACAGAATCACCTTGTCACCTTGGAATATGATGATAGCACCGCAGATTTCTAGACAATGCTATGAGGACCCCAATATTCATCACGGCGGTTCTATAATCATGTCTTCAGTGGCATGGCTTCGACTCCTTACTTCAAGGTACTCTGGAAATCTCAGTGCACACCTCGTGTGAAGTTTTTTGCGTGGCTAGTGTTGATGGACCGACTAAATACGAAGACGATGTTAAGAAGAAGGCACCTGAACATACAAGATGATGTACTCTGTGTTATGTGCAACCAAGGTGCTGATGAAGATATTGATCATCTTTTCTTTATGTGCCCGTTTGTGGTTCAGTGTTGGACCTCAATTAACTTCTCCTAGGACGTCTCCCTGCCACTAGCTGAAAGATTGATGAGGGCCAATGAGGTGCATGCTTTGGACTTCTTCGTCGAAGCATCCCTAATTGCAGCATGGGAGCTCTGGAAACTTAGAAACGACAAGATTTTTCAGCGTCGAGACCCAACTCCTTCTCTATGGCTTGTAAATTTCAAGCATCAATGTAATTTGTAATCTGTTAGACTCAGGGAGGACCTTAGGTCTTCCTTTTGCTTTTGGCTAGATGCTTTCAATTAAAACAGGTTTGTAATCTTGACTGTTGCTTAAATTATTTATAAAATCTACTGTGGGGATCTCCCCCACAGTCCTTTGTTTAAAAAAAAAGTTAGCACTAAAATGTAGGCAACACTGGGCCTGTCAAATACCATAAGGGAAAAATAGTCCAATGAACACCTACATTACTACAGAGTACTAATTACTAGAAGAGCAAGTCGCCAACCACTACTCAGCTATCTGCGGTGACGATAGCCATTAAGGGTCCCAAACAATTGATTATCTTGCATGTTCCTATCATAGAGGAGGTGGATAAAAAGGAAATAAGTTTGAGAAAGCAAAGATATTACATGGCTGTTAAGATTTAAGTTTGACAGTGACCTTGGGATGCTTCCAGTGAGTCCGATTAGCAGAGAGGAAACTGTAGCAAGAGAAAACATAGATCATTTCACGAAATTAATGATCTCAAACACTAAAAGGGACTGCAGAAATGATCAATTAGCATACAGACTGAACCCACGACATGCACTCACTGTTAACCAAGAGATTATTGGAGATTCATTGTTCATTGAGCTGGTACATCATCTGGAAAAAAACAGAGAACTTGAGAAGGAGAACGATAGGACAATAAAATCTTATGACGGTGATAACAAATTAACAAGAGGCCATCTATATCCAGATTCAGAACACCAAAGCACTCATTTTGTAATATAACTCCTGCAGTCCTGTTCTATCTTGAAAAATGTTAACCAATGTCTAGGCCTAAACATTGCAAAGCAATTAAAAACCAACCCATTCTGCAAGCATCGTATTGAAGACTTGGATTACTTAAAATATAGCACTTTGTACTGCATTATCCGAACCACAGAAGCAATTCATCGAGCATCTTATAGTCACATTTAACCTCAATAGATCAATCTAAATCAAGGTACTACCCATCTATTAATGGAAGAGCTAGCAAACTCAAAACTAGGGCATGCAGTGCTAACAACAAAGTTCAAAATAGCAGGATTTAGCTGCCGCTATAGCGCTATTTAGCGGTTCTGAAGGTCCGACGCTAAGCTACGATGGTTTTGGAGCTAGATCGCTATTTGCCGCTATTAGCGGCTAATAGCATGCTATCTCCACTAAATCCACGTTCATTTAGCGCTGCTAATCTGCATGGGCTTTCGTTTTCGTCGGCCCAAATCACACGCAGCCCAAATCTTTGGGATATCTACCGATGGAAAGCAGTCACATGCACAACCCTAGCCATTCGACACCGTTCCTCCCGACCTCGCGTGAGTGCTGGCGGCGGCACCGCCAGATGCTGTGACCGGCGAGCGGCGAGGATGCAAGACTGGCGAGGGGAGTCAGAAGTGCGGCGGCGGCGAGCTATGGCACCGGCTGCTGCTGTTGCAGCGACTGCAAAGGGCAGCGGCAAGCGGCGAGCGTGTGGGAGTGCAAGCGGCAGCGCCTGCTGCTGTTGCTGCGATGGCCATGTCCCAGCCAGAAGGCAAGATGCTTCAAACTCTTTTCATTTTTCCTCTGTTCTTTACGTATTGGGCTGCTGGATGTGAATGGTAGTGAGTAATGAGTGACGTAGTGCTGCATCTCATTCTCATGGTGAATTGAATAACTGATTGACTTAGGATTTTTGTACTACTGCATTCAGCCTGCTAGTGCTTACTCTTTACTGTAAATAAATTGGCATTTATCCCATGAAGAAAGTGTAGTATCAGATCTGTTCTAGGTTGGTTTATTAAGCGTGCTACTGCTGTTGTTGATAGGATATTAAGTTTACTCTTTACTGTAAATACATTGGCTTAGGATTTTCTATACTGCTGCTGTTGATTGGTTTACATTTTACTGTAAATAAATTGGCATATATCCCATCAAGCAAGTAGAGTATCAGATCTGTTCTAGGTTGCTGCAGTAAGCTTGACATTTTTTGTCTCATATTAATTTTGTTGCTTAGGTGCCCCATCAAGTGTTGCATCTGAATCAGTAGAACAATCAGCTTCAACCAGAGTTGTTATCAACTCAAATGACCCTACATGGAGTCATTGTTATTGCCCAGACCCGAAGAAGAAGCATTCAATAGTGTGCAACTACTGTAAGAAGACGATAAACACTGGAATTACAAGAGTGAAGTACCATCTTGCTCGTCTCGGTTCCAACTGATGTGAAGGAAGAGATGCTAGCTTTGATTAACATGAAAACTAGTGAAAAGGAACAAAAGCAAAAGGAAAAGCAAAGGGCCAGAGATGAAATTGATCTGGATCACTCAGATGGTGAAATGTGCAGTGAAGACTCTGACAATGGAAACGAGGTTATTGTGCTGAAGTCAACAAAACAACCTAGTTGCAGTGCTGTTGCTTCATCAGGTAGTGGCTCTATCGAGAAGTTCTACAAACCGGCTTCTATAGAAGAGGCTGTTCAGAAGAACCAGAAAGGAGCTAACGTCAGCCAAAAGGTTCAAACAAAGTTAACAACTCAGAAAAGAGAAGAGAGGAGGGATAGAGCTTGTGTGTATATATGTCAGTTCTTTTATGAAGCAAGCATTGCACACAATACAGTCCTTCCTAGCTTTGCCAATATGGTTGAGGCCATTGGAGCCTTTGGTAGAGGTTTGAGAGGGCCTAGTCCCTATGAGTATGAGATGAGTGGACCATTTTTGCAGAAAAGGAAACAAAAGGTGTTGGATGGATTCAGGAGCCATGAGGAATCAGGGAAAACCGTACCTAAGGTTGTACACTTATGACAGATGCATGGACAGATAAGAAGGGTAGGGGAGTAATGAATTTAGTCGTGCATAGTGCTCATGGGGTCCTTTTTTTGGATTCTGTGGACTGCTCTGCTGTCAAGAAAAATGGTAAATGCATCTTTGACCTTGTGGATAGATGCATTGAAGACATAGGAGAGGAAAATGTTGTCCAAGTGGTCACTGACAATGCTAGTGTTAATGTAGCAGCAGCAAGTCTTCTAGCAGCAAAGAGACACAAAATATTTTGGAATGGATGTGCAGCTCACTGCCTAGATCTCATGTTGGAGGACATTGGGGGGCTTCAACCAGTTCAGGAAACAATTGCAAGTGCAAGACAATTGACTGCATTTCTCTATGCTCATACAAGGGTGCTAGATTTGATGAGAAAATATCTTCGTAAGGACTTGGTTCGCTCTGGAGTTACTCGATTTGCCACTGCTTATTTGAATCTGAAGAGTTTGCAAGACAACAAGAAGGAGCTCGAAAGGCTCTTCAGAGATAATGATCTCAATGAGATGGGTTACTTGAAGAGTGCCAAGGGGAAGAAGGCGGAAAAAGTGGTGAAATCTTTTGGAAAAATGTTGATAGTGTTGTTAATTTTTTTGAGCCATTGGCTAATGTGCTGAGAAGAATGGATAGTGATGTGCCTGCAATGGGATTTTTGCATGGATATATGCTTGAGGCAAAGAAAGAAATTGCTTTGAGGTTTGACAATGATCAGACAAGATACAAATCTTTTTGGGAAATAATTGACAAAAGGTGGGACAGCAAGCTGAAGAGTCCACTACACTTGGCTGGGTACTATTTGAACCCTTATTATTACTACCCAAATAAGGCAGACATTGAGAATGATAGCTCATTTAGAGCTGCTGTAATTGAATGTGTTATGTCGCTGATTGATGATGAAGAAATTCAAGATAATATCATTGAAGACCTCAGCAAATATAAGGAACAACAAGGGTCATTTGGACATGACATTGCCACAAGGCGGAGGAGAAATACAGACTTCAACCCAGGTGAAAATTGTGAAACTAATGTGATTGCTGAATTATCCAATATAATCCTTTTTGCTATCACAAGAGTTTAACTCTTTGCTTGTTCATGCAGCAACATGGTGGCTGAATCATGGCACAACTACACCTAATTTGAGGCTGTTGGCGATAAAGATTCTAAGTTTGACATGTAGCTCCTCTGGTTGTGAGAGGAATTGGTCAGTATTTGAACAAGTAATAAAAATAATTCTACTTCCACAACTCATCTACATGAATATATTTTGCATCATTGTTCATTCCTTTAATTTTATTCATCTAAACAAAATTAGGTGCACACAAAAAGGCACAATAGACTACTTCATGAGAGGATGAGAGACCTTATATTTGTCAAATTTAACTCCAAACTAAGGCATAAGAAAGAGAACAAGAGTAGAGATCCCATAGACAAGGAAATTAATGATGTGCTGGAGGATGACAACAATGAGTTGATTACTGGATTAGAACCAAATGCAAATCGAAGATCTGGGATGTGCAAAAACATCAGCAAAAGCACAAGGAGCATCACAGGGAGCAGCAGCATCTCAAGCAAAAGCCAAAAGGAAAAGGCCTGTGCGCCATAGGAAGAAATTCAGGACTGTGGCATCTCTGATGAAACCTCAGACTGCAGCCTCTACTTCTGAATCAGAGGAAAATCAAGATGCTATGGTATCTACTGATACTGAAGATGATTAGGTGAGTACAACTAACTATTCAGATGCTGAAATGCATGTGTGATGTACTGATGTATCAGACTATGCCACTATGGCCTATGGCTCCATGCCTTATGTTTGTTTGTCTATCTGTCACTGTTTAGTTCATATGCAGTGTAATGTCTGTCAACTTTGTATGAACTTTGAATTCATGTGTGTATGTGTCTATGTGATGTATGATGTATCATGTATGAACTATGAAGCTGTGATATAACGTGTTAGTAAGACTTTGAGCTATCCGTCCCTACTTACTTGGTAATTGGTATTTGTAATGTCTTCATCTTCTATGTTTATTATGTGCAAAATTACCTTATATTTGACACATTTTTTGCTCGGCCACTAAATGGCTTAGCCCGCTATAGCCTTTCTTAGCTTTTTGGAGAGGCAGCCGCTAAGGGGCTTAACCCGCTATTTAAAACTTTGGCTAACAATCAAGAAATCATAAAAATTAACCCACATTGCTGATGCCATGGTGCAGTCGCCGATTCGCCGCCCTGGCCTGCTCATGGGTGCTAGAGAGGCCCTGCGGTAGCAGGGGCGGAGGCGTCCGAAGTCCCCTGGGCGGCGGCGCGGGCGTCGGGGAGGCCCCTAGGGGCAGCGACGTGGGCTTCGGGGAGCACCTCAGGGCAGTGACAGTGGCAGGGAGACCCTCGGGGCAGAGGGCACAAGCGGCGGATAGCCGCCGCCGAGATGTCGTGGAGCGGACGTCTGGAGGCAGAGGCGATCTGTGGGGAGAGCCGGAGAGGGAGGAGACACCGGTGCGGTTGTAGGAACTGACACAGCATGTGGGGATTTTGAGGAGGAGCACAAGCGGGGAGACTCAAAGACGCGGGCGAGGAAACAATTTTGGGGAGGAGCGCTGGCTGGGAGATGCAGGGGACACGAGATTTTCAGCGTAGGGGGCAGGCCCGCAGGGGCAGGGTGGACACGGGAGGACGACGGAAGAGAAGATTTTTGCTGAATTTGTAGGGAGGATGCGCATTCTGGAGGGAACGTGCAGGCTAAAAAAATACGAAACGTAATTTAATTTTGGAGACTTTAATTTTATATGTAGTGGATAGGAACCATTATAAGTGTCTGTCTATAAAAATCGATTTTCAAAAGTAAAGCAACTTAAGATATCTATCTCTGTTCATTGATTTTTAAATGAGGCATTCGGAAAATGTTTCTGTACTAAATAATCGATTTATAAATAGTAGTCCCTTCATAGCATCACTGGCGCTAATTGTGTCTAACCTCAACTACATCTCTATCTATATTCACAAACCCCTTAAGAAACATTAATCAAGTTATATCTAAGGTGTCGAGCTAGAGTGAGCTCATCTAAATAAGTCTAGTTACATAAACTTATGCAACTAGTCAACTAAGTACAACCGTAAGATCCTATACATACGAGCAAGCACAAGCATAAAGCAAGGAACACCGTTGTTAGTTACGCTATACAGGCACAACTAGAGAGCTACCGCTAGCTAAGCTACTTAGCTATCCAAGAGTAATAACTACTCGCTAGTACAAGTAATGGATAAGTAATATAGATAAGAATTAAATCAATATTCAATTTAATTATTCAAATACAAGATGCTCCATAGAAGGTTGCCTAGTTTGGTTGGAACATTGGATTCAATAGGGGAGCAAGAGTTTTTATGACTAAGGTACCTACACACGTGATGCTGGCTAAGCTTGTATCAAGCTATGCATATTAAGCCCATATTAGTAATCCTATTAGAGAAAACTAGCATGACCTATAAATTTCGGATTTGCACATACAAAGTCACTCCCTCCGTCCACAAAGGAATGCAATTTTCATTTTTCGAGGAGCCAACCAGTTTAAATTTTGACTAAAGTTATACAAAAAGTCCTAACATTCATGATAGAAAATAACTACGATTAGATTAGTGATTACCGGGGACCAATACTAGGGTACCCGAAGAGAAGCTAATAACCATCAACATTGATTCATCCGAGCAGTCAAGAGCGCGACTACAGCTCCAACCGACCCCAGGTGCGCAAGCTCCGCCTCGCCCGACCTCTAGGGATGGCCTCTGCCTCGCCCGACACCGAGGTCGTGGGCTCCGCTTCGCCCGAGCTCTGAGGGCTGGCTCTGCCTTGCCTGGCCTTCGAGGACAGGCTCCGCCTCACCCGACCTTTGGGGGCGGGCTCCTCCTCGCCCAACCCTTGGGTTTACGCTCCGCCTCGCACGACCTCTGAGGGTGGGCTCCGCCTCACCCAACCTCTAAGGGCTGGCTTCGCCTCGCCCGGCCTCTGGGGGCGGGCTCTGCCTCGTCCGACACCGAGGCCGTGGGCTCCGCTTCGCCCGACTTTTGAGGGCTGGCACTGCCTCACTCGGCCTCTGAGGACGGGCTCCGCCTCGCCCGACCTTTGAGGGTGGGCTCTTCCTCGACCGACACTGAGGCCACGGGCTTTGCTTCGCCTGACCTCTGAGGGCTGGCTATGCCTCGCCCGACCCTTGGGTTTGCGCTCTGCCTCGCCTGACCTCTGAGGGTGGGCTCCGCCTCGCCCGACCTCTGAGGGCTGGCTCCACCTTGCCCAACCTCTGAGGGCTAGCTCTGCCTCGCCCGGCCTCTAGGGGACTCTGCCTCGACTAACCCTAAGGCGGAGGGATCCGTCCCGCCCGACGGAGACCCATACTGTCGATGACCACTCTAGATCGAAGCGAATGGGTCTCGGTCAAAGCTCTGACACTAGGGAGGTGACCGACACGCCCCGATATAACCCATGGCCATGACGGGTCATGCTAGGGGATTCACATCAGGAATAGCATCGGGCGTACCAGTGCTGTTCTGCCTAATCCTTGTACGAGCACTGACAGGCGCGTCAGTTCACCACGACGTCCGCCAGGACGGAGTGGAGCGCCACAACCGGGAGACGACGCCTACGAATGGCGCTAGTCACGGTCAGGGCCATGACGTGGAGCTATCGCTGTTGACGTCTACAGGGTCGGTGGGACCCGCGTGAAGGAAAAGAAGGACCCAGCGATCCTAGAGGACTTCTTCTCCTTCTCATTCTCCTCTTTTCCCTCCACTATAACCCATGCTTTCCTTGGCCTATAAAAGGGAAAGCAGAGCGTCCCATGAAGGGGACGTGAACCCATCGAACCCCGAACTGATTAGAACACACAAGCACATAGCTGGGAAGCGACCGAGCTCTCGGCACCCGTTCGCTCCTCTCACCAGAGACTTGGGACATGTCCCTCTCTCGCCCATTTGTAACCCTACTATGAACTTTCAGTGCTAGTAACACGAGCAGCAGCAACGAACTGGACGTAGGGACATTCTGCCCGAACCAGTATAAACCTCGTGTCCTCTTAGCACACCATCCGAGCCAGACGCGCAATATTAAAAATTTACTTGTTAGTGGCAACTCGAAACACCGACAATTGGCGCACCAGGTAGGGGCCTTTTGCATGCCTCGTCATCCACACTAGGCCTTAGAAGGCTAGTCGCAACATCAGCTGAGCCCCGAGCGCACACATGCACTTCGGGGACCTAGACTTCATCATCACGACGGAGGGAGAGTTGGCGATGGCTCCCACCATCATCCAACCTCTCCACTCCGCCGGCCTCGACGCGATTGCCGAGGCGCTTGAGGAGCTACAGCTGCATGCACCGGAGGCCCATGCCCCTCGGGAGCGGCCAGCTCCGTGGCTTCGACTACGGGAGGTTAGAGCGTCAGCTCGGCGCCTTCCTAGGACCCCGACCGTCCCAGAAGGACCTATGCCACCTCACCTTCTCGTTCACCAATGTCATGGCTCAGCTTGCCGGGGAAGAGCCCCTCTCACCAGAATACCTCATCCGAAGCATCTTGACAGCGCTCCCGTTCGGTCTCTGCAACGTCACAGAGACCGTTGGCCACCTTGCGGCGCAACGCGCGCCTCCATTCCCCATGAACGACGAGTTCGTGGGGATTACCGAATATGTCGTGAAGTATTTCCATGACCTCCTTGCAAGAGAATTGGAGTCGCCCTCTAGTTCTGACTCCAGCAGGGGGAGCCATCACCCCTCTCGTGAGTGCTTCATGGCGGGTACCATCGAGAAACACTTCAAAAGCATCCACGGGGAAGAAGCTACCCCAACGAACGACCTCGACAATGAGGTCAGGGGGGATGCAGGGGCCCCGCCTCACTTGCACGTGGAGCAGATGAAGGACCAACACCAAGAGCTCGAGGAAGCGTGACTCCAGCTCGAGCAGGAATGCATGGAGCTCGATCGAGAGATCGAGCACCACGGAGACGGTGGGTGTGCATGCGCCATGGCCCGCGACATGAATTGGAGGATCATCGATGATGATGAAGCACTCTTGCACTTCGCCTAGGCAAGACAGAACATCACCACTGCGGCGGCCTTGCTCCAGAGACTTCTAGGTCCTGCAACGCCCGAAGACTGTCGGGCCCATCACGAGATTCGCACGCTACTCGAGCGTGCAGCGGCACAGCAGGCCGAGAGCTCGCTGTATTGGCGACGCAAGCTCGATGCCAGCCAATGCATGCCCTTGGAGTGACCCAACAAGGACGTGTTAGTCCACCAGGCACCACAAGGCGGTAGGCTACACACCGTTGTGGCAGAACCTCCTAAATTATAGGGCCCACATGCACCTGTCACTGTCCAATGACCTTTGACGACCATGCATATGTTCCCGGTAACTTAAGAAGACTGTTGGGTGTCCTCGGGGAACCCCGAATCATCCACGATTTCCGAGCAGGATCACATTACAGAGTTATTGCAGTATTACAACATTTATTCAAATGTCTACACCAGAATAAATCAGCGGAAGTCTTACAATAACATAGTTTACAAAACAGTAGTTTCAAACCTTACAACTAAGTTCGATAAATAATACAAACCAAAGTAGTGGAGTGGCATTATAACATATTACAGAACACACAAATAAGTTGCCCTGCCCAAGAGCCACACATTTACTTATCATCATCACAAGGAACAACAGTCATGCAGCACGATCCAAAACAGATCTGCTCATGAGCCTCACCTGCAACAAGGGTCAATGAACCTTGAGTACAAAAGTACTCAACAAGACTTAACCGAAATAAGAATTAATAGAACTCAGGGGATTCAAGGTATGGCTTTAGCAATAATCAAAGTTCTTTTGCGTAAAAGCTTTTTAACAAAATTCTTATATCAACATTTAAAACTTCATAAGGTCATAGACAAAGCTGACACGATCCGTATTGAGATCATGAAACTTCATAACCAACACCTTCACAGACCATCCTCAAGTTCTAGTTGTTTATCTACGATGATAAACAGAGAAGTGAGTCTCCATAACCGAGGAGCAATGATGATTCGAACCGATTAAAAACCCAACTAGGAATTCCAGACCACACGACATATGCAGGTCCCCGACCTACATATATCAACCTACCCTCGGATCCTCTAAAACAAGAATGGGTCCGCGCCACCCGAGAATACAGTACTCTACCAATCCAGCCCATTGCCACATGGGTACATGCTATTCCCGCCATCTCTCCACTCCTAGTGCGTGAGTAGCCATTCTCGTAATAGAATAGCCAAGTTAAGGCTTACCGGAGTATGTGGTTAGTACTACAAAGTCTCACCGCACACAGTTCAACAACGGTACAGGCCTTAATCGACACAGGTGGAAAGAACCCTCTCACAAGACCTCCATGTCTTGTGGCTCACACACACCGAGTCCACTCGGTCTAGATTTATTACTCCACATGCTCATATCACATGATAACATGAGTAACCAAAGTTCCATTTAAGACTTGCAGGTG